AAATACATTTATTATTTTAAATCAAAAATATTACAGCTAAGACTGTTTGTTAAATTGTTCTACAAGTTTTTTCTCCAAGAGTTCTTGATACTACGGCTTTCCTATGATCTGCCTCAAAACTTCTAAATCGTTCAACCTTTGGCTTCACAGAATACATGTAACTAGGTGGGCAAGAGAAAAACGTTTCAGCTACTGACTCGAGCAGGTCTTCTTATCTCCAATGAAACAAACAGTTCAGCATACATTGTAGTTTGTGGTTCTCAGTGTTTTGATGTAGTTCCATCAATGAATCGACAAACGTAGAATCTGGATCTTTTTCCAGTTGCTGTAAATGTTCGAGTACATCTCTGTCAACCCTCAGTTTAATAAAGTACCCTCATTACCTCAGCGAATTCACTCCAAACCATACGCTTAGTAGCATTCACTCGTTCGATCGCTTGTAAACCATACATTTGCCATCGTTCGTTTTCGTTCATCACGAGGCAGTCATGTTGCCCTTGACTGAGGATGGTCGACTTGACAACCATTACAGGATTCCACACAAAGTCTTTCAACTTCATGTGCGACTACATTCGCATATACTCCTTCCAATAAATTGTAAAGACCGTTTTCCATTAACGTTCGCTTTGCCAGCGCTGGCGAAGCGTTCATTGTTTTTGACGACCGTCACGCCCGCGTGAGCAGTCTGTCTTTCAAAGCCCGCTTTGCCCGCGCGGGCAAAGCGACTGCAATGGAAAATTACCTTAAGACGCGGCTTTTCCATGCAGACACTCCATCGTATGACTTTCACAGCGAAATGATTCTCAAACGAATTTATACACACACACATATATATATATATATATATATATATATATATATATATATATATATATATATATATATATATATATATATATATATATATATATATATATATAGCAACTAGCGTTGTCTTTTGTAATGAAAATTCCGAGCTCTGCTTAATGACTGTTTCGGCCATTTGGTCGCGTTACCTGTCACATTTGTCCCAGACTTGCATGCCCAGCAAAGTGATATTTGGCTCAGGCTTGTCCGCCTTAATTGGTCGCGTTACCTGTCACATTTGGTCCAGGCTTGCCCAGCAAAGTGACGTCATAGATTTTGCATACTAATCACTTCCGAAGCAAAGTGACGTCATTGGCGCCATCCCTTTGGTCTCCAGATGGGGCTCTATCACTACTGCTGGGAATTCCATTTACGAGCTAGGAGACTTTAGATTTCAAAACTTTCTGGGGAAACATTTCCGCGGAATCGAGTTGTTTGTCTGACCTACCCATAGATATCTTATATACACTAGATAGTGCATCTAATTATTCTGCAATTCAAAAATTGAAGCCGTGTTTGCAGACTCAGGATATTCCCATGAAATGAGAAGACTCGTATGTTTTCTATTTCTTAAACAGGGAACTTAAACATTAAGTTAAACCTGTTCCAAATACATTTTCAAACTATTCAATGATGAAAGTTATTGTTGTTTTTTAAGCGTTTATTAGCGAGTGGGAAACTCCACATGGCCGCCATCCATTCAAATGGGAGTAACCGCTGGAATATTCTTGGCTTCAATATCACTAAAAGAGATGCGCTATCTAGTTTATATAAGATATCTATGAATCTACCCCCAAACCCTCATCATGCACCCTTGTCAGCATACACTGTTGCGTATCTTGCCCGCATCTACTCATAGAATCTACTGAATTAATTCGAACATTGTTCTAATCTAAATCACCATGTGACAGTATTTGACACTGTTAAACTGTGAGTTATTGAGACCTTTACATTTTTCTTCATGTGCTTCTACCGTGCAAGAACTGCCGTTTTAGAGTGGGCGCGGGATGTCCCCGGACGCCCAAGACTTGTGACTCACAATTTATTCGTTTGATTGCCCCCTTCCAAAAAAATTCTTGGCAGTTCCACTGGGTACAAATGCCGCATGGTGGTGTATATAAGTCAGACTTTTAAATATCACAGCCCAACGGGAACTTTATTCCACATTAGTCATTACTATTTGGAAACTTCCGCATTACCATGTTGGTAAACTGAACGCATAAAACAACTACATATACCGTAAACAAAAATCAAATTCATTTGGTATTGTTTTCATTTAAATAAACCACGCATCGTTAGATCAGCAAACTAATGCGTAATATATAATTTTGTATCCAAAATCTTCATTTGGACCAACAACTGTTCATACAAATTAATGCCCCATCCATGGAATAGAATTCAAATACATTTGCCATGCCCATGACAGCAGTGGCGTAGCCAAGGGGGGCAAGGGAGGGCTCGCCCTCCCCACCCCCTCCCCCAATGGGCAGAAGGGTGAAGGACTGCCCTTGTGAAAAGTTGAAATTCGGGTAGAAATTTTTTTGGGGGAGGGGTACGATGATATCCATCTATTCTATTCTGTTTACCAATAAACTGCGCGCATAGCAGCAGTCTTGACCGAATTCAATGTTAAAATATGGCAGCCAAGTGAGCTTCATCACTTTTTATTACAAAAACGAAGACATCGTGCTATTTTGCTGTTGTGTTTGCGTGTACAGTACAACGTCTTACAAAACATTTTTTTATCTAACAACATTAGACGATTTAAAAATAGCTGTTTGTGAGTGTAACTTTTCTTCAAACCTCGTCCTAAAAAAAGGTGAAATAGCGTTCTAATCAATCTAGAAATTCAAAATTTTCCCTGGAGGGTATGCCCCGGACCCCCTAGATTCCTCGCGCCTTTGGCGCTCGCATTCGAAATGCCATAAAAGGTCCCCCCCCGAAAGGTTAGACCCTGGGGGAGGGGCAAAACCTATGCCACTGCATGGTGGGCCTCCGTGGATGGTTATACGCCTGATGTATAACTCTTCGCCCGCCCATTCAAGTTTTCCCAATTTCCACGAATGTTGATATAATTGTATATCAATACGGAAAAAATGTTTTATATATATTAAAGAAATATAAAGAAAGAAATTTTCCGTGTTGATATTGAGTTATACAGCTAATTCAAAACGAGTTGTCCTTTGCAAACTCTAAGCGTGCAAAGCATAATGGGAGCATCATTTAATCCGTTTAGAAATCACATGTGGGCCCCATTTCTTAGAGACATGGTAAATATCTCGTTACGAGAACAATGCATTCACAAATAGCTGCAATATTCAACTACTAAGCTTGAAACTTGTGCTCTCATTAAGTATTGCATGGTTAGAGTTTATGATTTAAGGTTTTAAAGTTTAAGGTTTTAAAGTTTAAGGTTTGCAAAGGACAACCTTATTTGAATTGACTGTATCAACACGGCTCTTAGCCAATCAGCGTTCAGAATTTACAAATGCTATATTATAATCTCATTTAAGCGAAATTTTGAGCTGGGGGGCAAAGTGCCTCCCCACACTTGCCCAATTCCTGCATGCGAATCGAAAACTTATACGATGAATGTGCAATTCTAATACCGACGTTTTTCAGATGAAAACGTGGGATCGTCATGTATCTTTGAATGAAGCTTACGCTGTTTTATATGTTGTGCAAATTTAATTGAACCTTTCAAGGTGACTCTAACTTTTAGTTTATAATTAGTATTCTCATTAAATTAAACGGTTTCGGTATATCACTCTAGTTAAGCCGTATTTGTCTGGGCAACGTTTTTAAAATAAATATCCTTTTGTGTATAGAAGGGTTTTTTCGTCGTGTTTACAATATTTTGGGTAAACGCCAAATAAGCATTAAATTTAATCCTTAAATTATATAAAAATTAAAATAATCCTTGACAGGTGCTTGCACAATTTTGAAACCACACTAGTTGGAATGCATGCACGTCATTCCTTAAATAATGTAGCCAAACTATCTCTCCCTGCGAGCTCCCCAATCTTTACCCAGGTCGAAACGTATCAGTTCCATGCAAGCTCTTAAAAAGTGTATTTTTTTCTAACATTTAAACTTTGAAAGGTGGCTCTATGGAGGAGAGAACCAAAAGTGTGTTGTAATATAGGCAAATTATATCATTCTAATTCAAAACAATTTTGATTTATTTTGTTCATTGAACGTTCTTTTAATTCGTCTCACATTTCTCCTGAAAAAAATTATTTCTTTACATGATGGTGATGAGAATGACCTACCTGAAAGTATTTGCTTTTAAACTAATTATAGGATAACGTTTATTAATTTTGTTACTAAGTGACGTTTTCATTTCCGACATGTTAAATTGTAAACGATTCGAATTTGCAAACTACTACAGCCTGCACATGCGCAGAGGTTTTTTGCAATGTTCTTTGGTCAGTTACGGTACAAAATACCTTTTTTAATTTTGTGCGCATGCGTTTGTACACTGAACAGATGATAGCAACTACCCATGACAAGCCATGGTCAGTTTGTCCAAATTTGTCTTCGTGCAAGGATCACATTGAAACTGAGGGCTTAAGTTAAGGTGATGACATTTTATTTTTCTGCGATCTTCGAATTCATATATAAAATTATGCAAACATTAATGTTAAAACTACAAGTTTTTTCACTACTTCAATGCAAAACGTTAATTTTAATTTGCGAAATATGTATTTTTCATTGTATAGGGTAATTCCAGAGACAAAAGCTTATAGAAGATTTTACAAACCTGTATATTTTGTGGATTCTTCTTGCAGCATAAACCTGGTTTAAACGTCTGTAGAGCATAACTTTTACAAGTAAGTATAGCTAAGTTAATAAACTACTCCAAGTATTTTCTGAAATGGTACTTCATGCTTTTAATGCAAAATTACCGCTCGAAGCCATTACCTGAAGCTTATTGGAACTCCAGCACTTTAAAATTTGACAATTTTTTTTAATTCTCCTTGTAATACCCACTATTGAGGTTTGTTGACCTTGAATACTACAAGGCGCATGCATGGCCTTGCAATTTTGCGCTACAGGAGTTTGACCCTGCAACATGCAGTTCAGTTTAATTAATTCCGAGTCCATGCAATTTTATTCTGCAATAGACCTTTCCCCTTATAACCAAAATTTTGATCTAGGCAAGTCTAGACAAATATTTCATCACAGCTTGAAAGAGCATCACAAAATTAGTAATATTCCAAAGTTTCGTTGCGAAATGTTGTAAAATGAGGAAAATAGAGCCTTGCGAAGTTTGCAATTTTCAGTCATTTTGCATTACAACCGGGAAATTGCAGCCCCAACACCCGAATCGGATGTCAATTTCCCGTTTGTAATACAAAATGACTGAAAAACGGCAAACTTCGCAAGGCTATATTATCCGCATTTCACAAGATTTTGCAACAAAACTTTGGAATATTACTAATTTTGTGATGCTCTTTCAAGCTGTGATGAAATTTTTGTCCAGATCGAAATTTTAGTTATAAGGGGAAAGGTCCATTCGACAGACAGTACAGGCTTAATTTCAAAGAGCACCCGATTTCGTCCTGTAGTAACTCTGGACCAATAAGGATTAAGGGGATGTCAAATATATAACTGGACATTAAGGGTGGATAGTTACAAAGATATAATTGAAAGAACTATATCCATACCATATTCTAGCTTAGTTTAGTCTTAGTAGTTTAGTTTATAGACTAAACCACGTGGTTTGCATAATACTCTAAAAGTGTATGAAGGGGTTGAATATCCATATTTACAAGAGCATATATGTAGTGTCTGGGTGACACAGTTTTTTATGTCACAGCATTGTACGCCTATATACAGTATGGTATTGTTAAAAATGTCGTAAACTTGGAACACATTTTTGGCCCTACAGTTCCTCGGAAATTATGGAATGCATGCGCTTCCTGCATAGTTAGGAATGTTTAGTAAATCATATTTTTCATTAAATTCGTGTTAATTAAAGTGTTGTCACAAATCAATTAGCATATCTGCAACGATATTATACTAGTATAATATTTGCGATTGTTATAATTAGTTTTATTGTAATTTTAGGTATCACCTATCACTTCAAACAGTGGCGTAACTCCTATATAGAGCCGGGGGCACCCAGGCAATCGGGCTTCCAGGGGGGGGGGGCACCCTGAACTGAGTTGTCCGGGTTGTTCATCTAAGGTTGTATCATAGATTAAGGAATGAATAGATGGCTCACTCCTTTGATGTTTTTGACGCTGCCGGCGCCCACGCATGTTCTTGCCAGAGTAATGGCGGCCTAGCAAGTAACTGTAGTAAAATGCATTGTAAAATTGACATCGGTGCTACTAAATTCTGTATTTTTCCGCTTTTGGGGGGCTTAATGGAAAGATAAATCAGAATTATAAAAATACAGAATTTAGTAGCACCGATGTCAATTTTACAATGCATTTTACTACAGTTACTTGCTAGGCCGCCATTACTCTGGCAAGAACATGCGTGGGCGCCGGCAGCGTCAAAAACATCAAAGGAGTGAGCCATCTATTCATTCCTTAATCTATGGTTGTATGTGCTGATGTGCATAAATACAGTGGCAAGCATTTCACTCTTTATATGTCTAAAACAATTTCTGCATAGTGTTATTTCTGCGTAGTGTCGAAAACAATTTCTGCATAGTTGTGTTTTTTATATTTTTTATATGTATTTTGCTATACACTTGTATTTCCAGTTTAAGAAACCATTAAAATTCGCTTCTAAAGACTAAAGTATCAGCAAAATGTTCATATTGTCAGAGCTTCATGGTACTTCAAAAAGATCTAGGATACTCCTGCTTTGGGGGCACCAAATAGCTGTTATTGTAATTGAATACGTCTATGCTACGGACCAGCGGTATCTGCATTATTTTGACATGGAGACGAGGCTATAGGGTCATGTTTTGTGTTTTTGACCCTTTAGCCTCGTTTTCGTGCGTACTTCCAGTGAGATACCGCTGGTTCGCCGCAGCGGCGTATTCAATTACGATAACAGCTATTGATGATTCCCCTTATTATGTTTTCGTAGCGCTTTGCATTGTGGTTATAGTGGTATCACTGATAAAGATAGCGGCCTCGAATGAAAATCTTGAATGTTTTCGCGAATATTTTGCTGTTAACTATCGCGCACCCAACCCTAGCTTTTATTAAAAGTTCTTGTACGGGTCAGGACAAAAAATAAGCCATCTTGAATATCAGTGATACCACTATAACCACAATGCAAAGCGCTACGAAAACGTAATAAGGGGAATCTTCTATTCCGGGAGGACCAGGGGCAGCTTGGTCCAAACTTATACGCGCCTGACTTCAAATGCTTTCGAATGCGCTATATATATACCAGTGCCTTTGGAAGCAAATTGTTATTGAAAGGGAGGTTCAACCAAAGGGAGTCTGCTCCCCTAGAAACATTTTGCGTTTCCGAAGCTCTGGAAGAGCATTTTTCGTGTTCCTGAGAGGAATTTTTATTAAATTCTTGCATTTAAAAATTCAAGATGTTGTAATGCACTTTATAACTTTTTATAATTTCATCCCGCTTGTTTTGAAACGTTTGCTGTGGATGCAATAACACGTATGAATTAATAATTGATACAATGAATCAATTCTTAAATTTTAATCAGATGACATAAATGACTTTATGCAAAGATCCTTGGATTAAGCTAATTAAATTGCATGGTTTATGTCAGGTCGATCAACCGAAAAATAATTATTTAAAGTATTTCATTTTAAATAATTAACATTTCTTGGGAAAGGTGTTTACTTTACGGTTTATTAATAACTGGAATGTACTTATCGCTTATGAGTATTTCATATTTGGGTATTAAATAATGCACTCATTAAAACTCATGTGAGAATGGGCAAGAGTAACTGTTTACAGTCGATTTCACGAAACTTTGATCACAAATGTTCCGAACTTCGTTGCGAAGTTCGGAAGTTCATATTGGATTTCACAAGCCAATTTGTAAACAAAGTCCCTGATTGGTCCCTGAAGTAAAAGAAGCCAATCAAATGCGTAGTTTACAAACTGGTGGTCAAAGTTTCGTGAAATCGACTGTAACAGTTTGTGCTGTCGTTAAAAGCAAACAAATCGACTCACGAGGACGAAAAGGATACTGTCGACAGGGTCTAAACACACACATGTGATCATAAAACATGTTTAGATGAAAACTCCTCCTACCTAGCTAGGCGTCATAAGAATCCTAAGTATAGCCCTACCACTCATGCAGTAACATATGTCATGCAGACTGGTTGTTACCTTTGTCATATAGTATCATACATTATATATTGGGATTGCAGTGAAAAGGTTCAATTTCCCGACTTGAGTTAGTTATTATCGAGCGAGAGGCTTGCCTTAGTGTATTTCCAGTCTTCTTTAGTACATAGAAAATCGTAAATGATTGTGAATTATGCTATGGCTGGAGGATGTCAGATGACGTCTGATCAGACGTCTTTTCTAGTAGAAAAGGATGATACTAGATATTAGATAATACAAGATAATAGTGGATCATGCGGAAGATACATTGGTAGAGATGGTAAATGATGAGAAGTAATGGTGAAAACTATTGGACAATTATTAATAATTTTGCTATTATCCTTTTTTTGCAGCTATGTGGCTTTTCTTGCTTGTAATAACACCTTTCGTGATGCAAAATGATGCTCGTATCAGAGGTCAGGATACCGACGAAGAGTGCTTTGACCAAGCTAATTACATCACATGCACGTCTGCGTCCGGATACAATCCGTCAGTCTGTGACTGCAAACGGAGATGGCGTTGTTATATAAAATTTAATATCACTAAAGTTCCAGACCATCCAGATACCGGAGTTGACCCAAATGACGTTTTCAGAATCAACAATGGACTGATTGGTCCAACTATTATCGCAAGATCCAATGCAGTTTTAGTGGTTGATGTTTTTAATAACATCGTTGGTGCTCCGGATGATGATGATGTTTCAATGCATTGGCATGGCATGCATCAGGTTGGTGTTCCCTGGATGGATGGAGTTGGTTATGTCACACAGTGGCCCATACCTCCCGGTGGAAGGTTCAGGTAAACTAAAGTATATATTAAGTTGGTAAGGCATACCAATACACCCTTTCGGAAAGTACGTCACTTTGGCTATAGAGCCTCGTTTTCGTACATGTGACATTAGGTATAAACCCAACGTTTCAAACACAAAAACAAGGCTCTATAGCTAATGTGACGTACTTTCCGTGGAGGCGTGTATTGTAGACACTATCCTATAGATGAATATCGTTGCCAATAGAGGTCATCGTTGAGGGAAAACGCGCGGGGAGGGAGCAAATGTATCCTTTTAATATAAATCAAACAAACAATTACTAGTAAACAAGTTAACAACGCTGAATAAGAAACGATACAAACTGTGCATGTGTGTGATTCTTGAATACGCTATAGGAGTGTCGAAGGATTTTACCGACGAATTGAGCTTCGATGTTAAAATTAAACTTAAGTCAGTCATTATGATTGCAATAATGGTATCTCTAAATTTGTAAAAAGCAAGGGATCTGGATTCTGGTTTTTCCCCAAGAAAAATTTAAATTTGTGAAGTTCGATAACCGGATTACTGGCCTGGAGATAATTCACTAAAGAATTTCGTCATATTGACACACTCCAATTCCAATGCTTCGCAACTTCCTGAATACATATCAATTAAAAAGTACCTCTCTATATCTAGAATATATTCCGCCCTTGCCCGCTTGTTCCGGCGTTTTTGCTCACATTACACCAAATATTGTTCACCATTTCTTAGATTCTGTCGAATTATGGCTTTTTAAGACAATGCTCGGAGAGGCCAAATCGCTTCATTGATTCTAACCGCAATCTTGAAGAATGTTCCAGGCTCGTGGTCTGAGTATTTTGGTTTGAGCTATTTTGTCCTGACTATAGAGCTTCCATACTTTCTACGAGCTTGTGTTTGATGCAACTATATGACCCGAAAATACAAGAACAAACTTCGAGGTTTCGAGCGAACCTTACGTGTTATCTATAGTAACCATAAGGCATATAAGTTATGTGATTTTCATGGTAACTGTTATGAACACACATTAGCCCTTACCCGATATGTCTATTTAATATTTTTAATTTGCTACTTCGAAATTATTTTCAAAAAAATCCCGGTAGAAACCAAGTTGTAATTATATCATATTACAGATATATCTTCCGAGCTAAGCCGTCAGGAACGCATTGGTATCATTCCCATATGCGCTCCCAGAGAGATAAAGGAATGTATGGTGCGTTGATCATTCGTGAAAATAAGAGAGACATCTACCACCCCAACAAGCTTGGTCGTTTTAGAGATGAACCAGATAAAAAAACTCTAGCAATAAGAGAGCACATGAAACAAGAGACCGCGGCTGACCCCGTGCCGTGTTTTCCAGACAATTCCGAAATGCCGGATTTAGATGAAATTTTGGAATGGTTTCAAATAAATGGTTACAAGCTGGATAGTAAAATAGACGAAGAAAATGTAAAACCTTTTTTCAATGTACAACCTGGGGAAAATTATCGTTTTCGCCTCATTGGAACTATGTCGCAGACAATCCTTCGTTTTTCTATAGACCATCACAAGTTGTACGTTATATCGACTGACGGTTACCTCACACGGCCGTTTGAAACTGATGTCTTGATTATGCATGTCGGAGAGCGATACGACTTCATATTGAAGGCAGATGATAGCGTTGAACCAGGAACAGTCTATCCAATTCGAATTGAATCTGTCGCGGTACGTTGTGATGATTTCAGTAAACCAGAACGCCTTGGGTTTGCATATCTTAGATATACTAAAGGCAGTTCTGCAGAAACAGTAATAGTCAATGAACATAAATCTCGTTGCTATACTGGCGGTTGTACAGCATTGAATTGTCCTTTTAAGTCATATCCCAAAGGCGCAAGCGATGTTACCTTGGAGTGCCATGATGTGTACGATGTACTACGTTTGCTCTATCCAACACCGAATACCGACATCCCATCAGCAACAGATATATCTTTCGAGGGATTCTTCAACGTCGGTATAAAAGGACAAGGAGTTGCAACTGTTAATGGTATAAAATTTAAACAAGCCTCGGAGCCTTTGGTGCAGTCTCACTATAATAATCAAACCCTTGATGAGTGTAAATATCAAGACACCCTTGAATGTGAATCTAACCCAACACCTTCATGTCCACATACAGTTCACATTCCAAAACAACACAAGATGAAAACGATACGGTTTGTCTTTTCATCAATTTCTTCCGGTGGCTCACTTTCGTCAATCAGAACACATCCAATGCATATGCACGGTCATTCATTTTTTGTGGCAAAAATTGCTTACCCTAGTTATGATCACAATGGGACAATCGTAAGCCAGACTGAAGATCTAACAATACCGAATTGTGGACCAGGAACGTGGAAGGACGATGTGCAACCAGAAGGAATACGAGTGGACAGTGAAACAATCCGCAAAGATGTTATCATAATTCCTGCGGGAGGATATGTGGTCGTTGATTTTCTGGCAGATAACCCGGGCTGGTGGTTTTTGCATTGTCATATTGACGTTCACCTTTCAAATGGAATGGGGATCGTGGTTGGAGAACTTCCTGAATGTCAGAACCCTCCACTTCCAGACTTGATGGAACAGACGAACAGTTTTTGCTACATAGAAAATTGATAGCCCAAGAGGGGGATGGAAAAGTCTCATATTACATGTTTCCACTTCCGCACTTCACACTTCGATTGCAAAGAGTGGCCGTTCTGTACAATCATCTTTGAGAATCATATGTACTTCAAAATACTTGCTAAATTGGTTTTGTTTGCTTTTAAATTACACATACATGCTAAACTGCAGATTCTTATAGCAACAGACAAGTCAGGAAATCAAGCAATGTGAACGAATGATCGTATGTAGCCCGCGTGCAGGCCCAATGGAAGAATAGTGGGCCTGCAAGCAAGGCCCGGTATTTTGTAAAACGCCCCTTTTCATAACACGCCCCATTCGCGCGTCAATTGTCAAAAAAGAACCAATGACAGCAACCCAAATAGTAACAAACAAACTAACCTGAGTATCAGGCCCTTATGTTTTCATTCGCCAGGATTAATACAAACTCGCATTAAAATTTGCGGGGTTTTCTCTGCTTATTCAAAATAGAAACACTGTGTAAATGGCTGTGTTTTAACTCCAAAAAAGCAAGCAACGCAGTCAGTAATTGCCAAATTTGCAAGTGCTCATTTTCAACTAAAATCGGAACGGCAAATTAGGATGAATTTCAACGGAAAACCAGTCTCAAACTTCAAATCGTAAGGGAAGTCGTGCGACCACATAGCATTATTAATGTGTGCTTCGCTGTCGAAGCCTGGTTCTTAAGCCTGGTTCACATATGCTTGCGGTATGCCTGCGACTGTATCATTATGCCTCTACTTGCCTCCGAAATACCGGCAAAGTTGAACTCAATTAAGTCAACTTTCCCGGCCTACCGCCGATGTAACTGTGGCACTGGAGGCAATCGGTGAACAAATATTCACATAATTTACGTTTTAAGCTACCACCGGCATCGTCGCCGGTGGTAGCAGGGACGTCGCAGGCATATATGTGAACCAGGCTTTATCAGATCGTGTGTCCAATTCTTGTTGGCGGCGGAAAGTACGAAATTTATTTCAGTTATTTCATTTGGTTAAGAAATCTACAAAAGAAGAGAGCGTTGTCCAGATCGTTTCGTTTCAAACGGCAATTACCGTCTTCTGTTTCGCTCTCTCAGCGAAGCCTTGCAAATCGCAAAGTGTTTCGAATAGGCTTACATGCAACTGCCTCTGGCTTCACCGCGAAAAGCGCTGTTTTCTTCCGTGCAAGAACAGAGTCAACATCAACCAAAAAGATCATTTTCTTGAGGAACATATAACGTATCAAGTCTGTTTGAAATTAATGAAAAGTTACTATAGTTTACCCCAGTCGTAATGTTGCTATTCCAACACTTCACGACAAGCAATCCCCATTGGCATAACGGCAAAAACATCTCTTCCTTCAAGTAAACAATAAACAGTCTGTTCTTGTTCCATTTTTAATCGAAAAAGTGATCAATTTTCGGATTTTAAGCTTATGGAGAACCGTTTGTGATGAATCACTGACTCCAGTCTAATTATAGAATCCAACAGCAAACAGCCAATCAGAATGCCGCGTTCGTGGGCGAACGCAGAAAGTACAAAATACCCAACCTCGTACCCAGGGCTAGTCGCGAATTGAAGGCGGCGACGTAGCCCTGGTAAACCCTGGTCACGTGTCAGGCAAATAGTTGGGCTTTGTGGAAATAAAGACAGGGGGGCGACGAAAAGTTCACGAATGGAACTTGAATTGCCGCGGATTATTTATATTCTTTTATTTTTTGTTGTAATCTTTCTTCTTAATATGTTACGTTTATATATTACGTCGAATGTACATCAATCTTCTTTTATATCGCATCATGTAAATCGCCGAGGAGGCGATGTTTCAAATTTCGAAGCAGTGAAAATGGAGCCAATCTCGTACATACTATTTGTGATGAATTCCATCAAGTATAAAAAGGTACAGTATATGTACTATTTAAAGCACGCGTAGGAGTGTTTTATCACATATAAAACATGACGCGTAGCGGAGTGTTTTATATGTGATAAAACACGACTACAAGTGTTGTATTGTATTGTATTGTATTAATAGTGCTTTAATTAGCTTAAAAAACGACTCATCTTATACGAGTTCATTGGCGAAGTAATTTTTAAAATAAACTTTGTCTAAACCGAGAAAATCAAAGCTAAAGTTTATGTAAATTAACGTGATTTTTTATCACATATAAAACCACGACATGCTTATGATTTTTCTTTGTGTTTTGCTCCTGAATTATTGAGTTTTTTAAATGAATTTAAAAATGTTTAGAAATATTTCATTGTTACAAATTATTTAGCAGATTCCCATTATTTGTTACACTAGCTCTCTGAAATATATATTTCGAAGGCTATTTAATATATTTTATACAGTATGTTAATATAGTTAGCTGAATTTGTACATACAATTTTAGTTTTTAAAAAATACCTGTATTTAGAAACACATGACCAGACTATGGCCTATAATACCATACTCGGACTCTCAGTAAAGTTCTACTCTCACATGATTATTATTTACAATATTGATTTATCGCTGCGAGAAACGTGTTTTATAACACGTGTAACCTTGTTGCCATATTTATTTTCTGACTTCAGACTTCAATAAATTTCTACTCTAATACTTGATAGAGATGGGGGCCATATGTATGAACAATAAGAAATGATTTCTTCATCTATTATTGACCCCTTACCTTTCACCCAATTTTAAAATTAAATTTACTGAATGATTTTAAAGTTTTCTAGATTATTGGAAAGAACTTTATAGGTACAAGAAATGGGGCAAAAAGAGTTGAATTAAGCAAGATGCAAGTAACAATGAACAAGACCGGGTCACTGGATGATATTTCAGCACACTGGTGGACATGCAACCTAATACCTGCAACCTATGTCACAATTATATATATAGTTTTACACTGTACTGGAAAAATAATGTCAAGGAACTTGTAGAGATTCAGAATGCACACTTCATGGTTTATTCAATCACCAGCATGCATGAATCATTTTATGTTATGAATTTTTTTTTACAATTATTCTCACTTTATAGATAAAATTATATAAATTTTTAATATCATGAATGAATATATAGTAGCTTTTGATTAAACAAGTTATAATAATATATCAGCAAATAATGACTGGTCTCTCTGAAATCCATATAGAAAGGTTCAAATTTGACTTCCACTACCACTACTTGATCTGGCAGTTGCATCCGATTGTTTGATTGGATAAATGAAACTTATCTGGTTAGTTAATGATAGCAATAGCAGCAGTGGAAGTCAAATCTTATCTCTCTATTATTTTTTGAAGATTTGCTCTAGTCACTTCAATTCAGGGTTGCCCATGCAACTTGGTTAGCACAGCTAGCTCTTCAAGTTGGAGGTCCAATTCTTAGGAATTTGCAAATTAATTCTAGAAAACTGGCTTTGGTTTGGGCTAAGCAAAAATCATGATCACACTGTTTATCATGCTGATTTGGTTGTTTAACAGTTAAAGTCCAACCTGCATGTTTTTTGTCCTGCATATGGCAGATGGGACAGTCTGGTTTCCAAGTGTTTATGTGGGGAATTAATATTAATCAGGACTGGCTTCTGAGTGAAGGTCTTGCCTGCTTTATGCGAGAGCAGGCTCTATGCGAGATTCCAATTGCTACACAGCATGATCTCAGGGCTCTTCCTCTGAAACAATGCTTGGTTGCGATATCATCCAGCAAGTGCAAAAATGTACTACCACGGTCAAGGATCATTTGGCATGTTCATCGACTATGTTAACCCATTGAGTGGCGCCATGCACCCTCCACCTGACGAGTAAAATTGTCTGGCGTTAGACAGAGTAAACTAACAAAGTAGGGTGCATCTGGGTGCATTGGGCCATTCCATTAATTAATGTATACACCCCCTATGGACGAGTTCAATAAAATTTGAACCCCTAAGAAAAAAAGATCAAAGTGCCGACACCAACACCCCCCCAGAAATTAAGAAATTTTTGCCTTATCCCTCAGAAAAAATGCAAAGATCAAAGGATGCTGATGCACACAACCCCTCAGAAATGGCTTTTTCAATCCCCTCAGAAATTCTAGTCCATAGGGGGGGGTGGGTGTATATCAAATGGATGGCCCATTGCCACTTAAAGGGTTAAAAACGTAAATACCACAGCACAACACTTGTACATATACATATACAAGTAATACAACAGCAATCCTTTAATTTATATATTTAATAGTCATATTTACATATTGGTGAAATATAAATGTCCATATATTACTAGGGATGTCCATGAACTTGTCCCTAGTTTGAAGCTAATGTATTCATATCTTTGTATTAGTTGTCCCTCTACAAATCAACTTTTAGTCATTATACAAGAGTTGAATTTGCATTCATTTGCTTCGCAAGTCGCAACAAACTGAACAAATTAAGTACTAAACGTATCAATCGCTGCTGTTTTAAAAGTACTAAACCATAAATCTGTGCAATGATCGAACGTCTTTAGCGACATATCCAAGTCTTTTAAACGTCTCATACGAACAAATCTCACTCAGTTTTTTCTACAGAAAGTATTGATCCATTTGATCGATCGTACTTTAAGAAAAGCTTGAAATGCAAAATTCACAGGGGAGATTAAAGAATTTCGGAGATAAAAACTGTTTGTCTTCGAGTTTCACCTATTCACCCCCCGGTTGAGAAAAGTAACAATTACGTAATGTTGGAGTCACGTGACCAGCGTTACCAGGGATACGTCGCCGCCTTCAATTCGCGACTAGCCCTGGGTACGAGGTTGCAAAATACCGGGCCTTGCTTGCAGGCCCACTATTCTTCCCTTGGGCCTGCACGCGGGCTATACCGTATGCTTTGAAATATTTGCCCTTTAATTCTCTCGGGGTTCGGGCGCAGTTTCATTTCACGCGTACGTTTCTGTTCTGCCTCTAGTTCAGATATTTATAATATTCTTATAAAATGCCATTGAATTGTTGTCATTTTCTTACAGGTAAAACCAAGAAAACAAGAACAAGAAGAGTGAAACAAAAACAGCGTGAAAGTCTGAATCATATTTTGTCTTTTTCTCATGGCTTTTGACATTTCTATATAGTCAGCAGTAGATTGTTTAGGCTACTTATCTTTAAGTTGGCTATTTAACTGGATGGGCTTTTGACAGTTATTTCCACAGTAAAATAGTCTAGTATATATTATAACTATATAACCACAATTTTTGTATTCCATTTTAGTGGGACAAATATATACCTTTCCTCTTCTTTTTCCAAAAATTAAGGCTTGTTGTTCAGTGAATTGTTATACAAATATACTAAACCACATCAAGCACCCAGCACATTTGTTTCAGTATTTGCAGACGTTTAAAGAGGCCGTAAAAGCAAGATCTCGAAAAATCTTTCATGATTATGCAGCCTGATCACAGTTTAGTGAAACTTGTTCCGTATAGCACAAGCTGCACACAATAAGGTAGTATGCATAAATTAAACTGCATTTTGCTCCCTTTTTATAATCTTCAATATCCACGCGGATAGATCCTTTTAAAAGTAGCTTAGATGCACAAACCAGCCGACAGTTTTGAAACGAAAATAAACATCCTGAAAAATCCAAGATATGATAAAAAAAGACTGCCGCTTCCATGATTTTTTAAACAAATAGAAATAATTAAAATTGAAATATTACAACTTCCATTTGTCAGTAGTCTTTATTGTTTTGATCCATATCTGGAATTTCCTAAGTTATGTATTTTCGAATTTTGTTTTAATCTTATACTGTATATTCATCTATTCGTCCAAGCGCGATCGCGCTGTTTTCAACATACATGCATGTAACATTTCATGTACAAGTATATATACCATGCATACAATTACCGAGCTTCTATAGCTGAAAGAAAAGAATCAAATCTATATATAATTTAAATCTAACAAAAAAAAATTCTAAAAAATACTTATTATAAATTCATTTACGTAATAAGTACGTAATCTAAATAGCTATGGCAGTGAAATCCACAGGGCAATCCCAGACTATAGTTTACAACAAACAAAGGGACAGCTGTTTATGCACTATTGCATGGTGAGTCAACATGAGTGCATGGCCAGGCTATGCAAGATCCCGCCTTTGTTTTTATGCTTCCCATTAAATTTCATCGTGCATGCGTTTACCAGTATGGGAACCGAGCTGGCCCGCCTACTGAGCAAGATCCCGCCTCGATTAACCCAAGATCTCGCTAAAGCAGAGTTGGAATTTTATATGTAAACGCAATGGTCTGGGCTGGCTCGCCTATATCCGGGCTGAGTATAAAATGCTTTGTTTAGACAAATATAATGTTGTAAATTGCATTTTCCCAACGGATTTCATCTTAAAATGTCTCTGTGATCATCACTGTGAGTTACAATTGTGAAACTGTGCATGAAAGTTGATTTCAAGTTGGTTGGAAAATGTGCTTCTACAGGGTGTATCAAAAAAAAGGAGACCTTTAGAAATCAAGCATATTGTTAAAATTTGAATGCCTTTTCAATTGCACATATGCTGCATGGACCGTAGTGCGTGAAATATTGATGGAGTGCATATATTAGAAAAAGGAGACCTTTAGAATTTGAAATAACGTTTAAACAAAAGATTGTCTGCTCCTGGGATCAATCTGCTATGTGCTTAGCAAAGTGCTCCAGGATTCAAATTATAACAATGGTTGATTTCTAAAGGTCTCCTTTTTCTAATATATGCACCCATCAATATTTCACGCACCACAGTTCAGCATATGTGCAATTGAAATGGCATTCAAATTTTAACAATATGCTTGATTTCTAAAGGTCTCCTTTTTTTTGATACACCCTGTATATTATGTAACTCAACTCGGGTGCTTTGTTTTGGCGAACCAGCCGAGTCTCAGGGTGAATTTCGTCTCAGGATCAGTAAGCTATAGGCATAGCCCGGTTCCTCGACCATGGCACCTTGCTTCATAATAAAACGTAATGGAACAAAACGAAAAAACGTTGTGCCTCGATTGTCATGCATTACTAATATACTATACAGGGTGTCCCAAAAAAACCGAAAACTATTGAAATCACCAATAACAATTTAATTGTTAGAATTTGAATGCCTTAGCGCTCTGTTGGTTCCCACGAGTGCATAAATGATTGACATAAGTAAATGTTATGCATAAAGAAACTGTTTAAGAAGCTGTTTTTAATTCCCAGGAGCAGACTTTACCAGGAGATACTCCTAACTAAATTCTAATACATGCACCTTGTCAATATTTTACGCATCATTACGTCCAGCTGTTTGGTTGGGCATTCAAATTTAACAATAAGTGATTTCAATAGTTTTCGTTTTTTTTGGGACACCCTGTATATATAGGATTTCCTTGCGTATGGAAACATCTTTCAGCAAAGATATAATTTCAATATAACATTTTACCCGAGGTTGAAGAAATCACTTTTACTTTAAATTCAAGCTAATTGGATGTCAAATAACATGCTTAAAACTACACAAGAAAATACATGCATGCAGAAACCCCTCGCCTCGCTGACAAAACTATTAAAGGAATACCGAATGGTTTTCCGTGCAGGATTGCGTGATCCATGCACGCGGGATGTTGCGAGACTTTCGGAAAGCGTGAAAATACACGAGCCGTAGGCGAGTGTATTTTTACGCTTTCCGAAAGTCGAGCAACATCCCAAGTGCATGGATCATGCTATCCTGGACGGGAAAACCATTTGGTAATTGTTTTATAAAATTACTACAGTGAAACGACGGTTAACTTGATTAAAATTACTGATGAAATGTGCAGTTCTCACAACAATCGTCAATTAACCAATCGGAGAATCGCTACTCCACGCTATTGAAAACAACAACAAATGCGAACAGAATTTGATCGCAAATTCGCGAAAATATACAGCGAAAATACAGAGACTTTTTCGATAAAATTTACGAAATTTGAAATGGAAAACCCGCTAAACAGAGAGCCAAAGTAGTTATGAAAAGATTCTCGACCTGAATACTTGAAGATTGCGAAGCGTTTGAACTTTGAAGCGACTAGCGAGAGATGTTGTACTTGCCATGGTCTGATGAATTTCAACGCTACGCGTTGCTACTTGCTTGAACAGGAATGTATCGATCAGAAATTTATTCATACAACTAAACCAACGTCTCAATAATTGGAAACTTACTTCAAAGTCGAAAGGTATCGTACAATGAAACTTTACAATGCGAGTATATTTGTAAAATTATGTGCAAGAATTTCTGTTCAGAATTTCCCGTGCAGGATTGTCTGATCCTGCACGGCTGTTGACCAATCAAATTGCGTGTTTCACTGTAGTTATTATATAATGTATTTTCCGAACATGAAGTATTTAAAGTATATTTCGGGTTGATCTTGTGGGAATATGTTGAGTTGGCTTGACTTCAGAGTTCATGGCGGTAATATTGTGAACAATTTTAAACCAGATCAAGGAATTCATGCCAGTAGGAGATTGGAAGTAGATGAAATGACTTCAAACGTTGTTTATATAGGTTATATCAGTTTTAAAATGTAGGTTTAGGATGACTTTAGTAGCACGACGCTGGACCCTTTCGACACGTCTGATAAGGTCAATTGATTGTGGGGACCAAACCTGAGTGGCATACCCGAGATGTGGACGAGCAATGGCAAGTTATAGGGTTTATGCGCGATATACCAAGTCACGGGTGACGTCACAAGTCAAGAGTGACGTCACACCAATAGCAAATAATGGAATTATATCATTTCACTTTGTTCTTTGTTTTTTAAATAATACTAGTTTTAGCTACCTATTTGTTTTGGATCGTCAGGCTTTTTGGCTGGTGCATTTGGATCGTTTCCTTTTTGTAAGATCATTCGGATCTTTTGCTTTTTGGCTGGTGCATTTGGATCGTTTCCTTTTTGTAGATCATTCGGATCATTTGCTTTTTGTAGATCATTTGGATCATTTGCTTTTTGTGGATCATTTGGATCATTTGCTTTTTGTGGATCATTTGGATCATTTGCTTTTTGTTGATCATTTGGATCATTTGCTTTTTGTGGATCATTTGGATCATTTGCTTTTTGTGGATCATTTGGATCATTTGCTTTTTGTGGATCATTTGGATCATTTGCTTTTTGTGGATCATTTGGATCATTTGCAATTCAATCCGCCAGGCGCCAGAACAAAAATCAAACTTGCGCGTACGGCGCAACCAGCATTATATAAACAATCAGTCATCTGTAGGTACTATTGCGGTGCAGGGGACGTTTAAGCGATAAATAGTACTGTATTATTTAAAATAAAGCTTTTGATATAAACGTTTAGTTGCTTTCTTGCGATATACGAATTCCAGGCTGGTGGTCCGTTAATTTGTTTAGAAATAGATCTAATTACATGTGTTCGAAGCTTTCAACACGACACTGAGACTGAAAGACTTGAAAATATTGTTAGGCTAGCAAGCTATTTTCGTTGGTTTCAAACAAACGAGCGTAGTCAGCGTCTATGAGGATGACATATGTGCAGCCTTGCCGCAGTGTTTCCGTGTGTGAGCGACAGTGTCGAAACACAATAGTTATGTATTGGATTCTTAATCACACCTGCATGTGATACACTCGCGACTAAGTCATGCTTTAGATGTCATTCGAATACAGTATGGCAACAAAAGTGACTTGTTTGTGGGGGTTTTTTATCAGTATTTTAACGTGCTATTTGTCAAATTCGCCGTGTGCTGGTTCCATAGTAAAGTCGTGGGTTAAATTTTATCAAGTTATGCATTAAGAATTGCGAGAAAAAGCCAGACGAAACGCAAGTTCTTATTTGCCCAGAAGGTAGCCCTTTTTTTCAAACATAACTGGATAAACAACGTTATTCCTTCAGTCATCTTGTGGAACCCACTGTTTCATACAAACAACTTTGGTCAAATAACATGCCCCAATTGTCACTCTGCACTAAGGCACTGGAAATGGAAAGATGGTAGCAACGATAGGAACAATCCAGAGAACTTATTTTGTATTCACGAGCGTGTTCTCCTGGTTTCGTCTGTGTATTTGTGTGATCCGTCTGTGTATTTGTGTGATCCGTCTGTGTATTTGTGCGTCTGTGTATTTGTGCGTTTCCCATGATCCACGAATCATTAACGAAGTCAGAAAACAGATTCAAATTCCTGTTGTACTATTTCATAAATCCGGTGTTTCAAAAGATCTCTTCGATTATATAGGATCACTATTCAAATTAGAATAACTATAGATGTTGAAATTATGGGTTATTGAATTATTTAAAGGTATATTATGGTCAAATCATATCCAACTTCCACGTGTTTGCGCCATACACTGTGTATACATAATGTTCTGTTTCACAAAAGGCTCGCTTAAATACTTTAGATATTAATTCAATTATTCAATAAAATCTTTTCCGATTGTATATAATGGTTGTATCTATCCCTGTTGCATGTGGTCAACATTTCGGGTGGATTTTGGTGTGTTAAGTAGCAAGAACTGCGTCAAGGAATGTAAGTGTATTAGGCTAACATAATTTCAACATCATCTATAGTTATTCTAGTTTGAAGATTTATACATCTATAGTTATTCTAGTTTGAATAGTGATCCTATATAATCGAAGGAGTGTCCCTATATGTCGTGTGGCGTGGGTTAAAAGTCGTGTGTCGTGAGTAAAGTCGTGGGTAAAGTCTTTGGTAAAGTCGTGGGTCATAAAATGTGCCGAAAACGCATTTTTTTCACGAAAATATTATTTTTATTTTTAATATTTTTTTCGTACTTTTTTCCATTTATGCGCTAGATAAATACAGGAAAATTTAAAAAAACAAATCTCCATGCAGTAATAAAGTAAAATACATGCTGTTTTTTTATCTTGCTGTTATCTATATAGTATAACAAGTACTGAAATGTTTCCGTTTCGTATAGTCTAATAAGTCTATAGATGTATTGTTTGATGATAAAATGTCTTAAGTTATAGGATATAGGTTTATTAGCTTTGCAAGTGTGATAGTCCCTATCATGAACGTCGTGAATGTAACTATGTCGATTGCATATGTCTGATACAAACATATTGATTGAGCTATAAATTCTACGCTGTCGGTGGCCAACGCTCGAGCCTCAAATTTTTCTATTTTATCTCCTAGTATATGTTCGTGGCCCTTAAAGATAGACAAACATTTCATGTTTATGTGGCGTTCGGAAATATTCCATAAATTGCTACGATTTGGGATTTTGCGATTGAAAACCGAAATGATTTGTGCGATGTCGGGCTATTTGCCAACCGAGAGCGCTAGCCGCTGTTATTTTGACAGAATATGATACCTCTACACTTTTCAGCCGTAATACATAATGCGCGCATTGTAATCATATACATATCGTTTAATTTAGCTTCTAATTATCTTTTAATTTAGCTTCGACACTGTCGCTCACACACGGAAACACTGCAAGGCTGCAAATATGTCACACAATCATCCTCATAGACGCTGACTACGCTCGTTTGTTTTAAACCAACCAAAATAGCTTCCTAGTCTAACGCTACTACGCAAATATTTTCTGTTCGTTAAATTTGTAGTTTAGCTATATTTTCAGGTCTTTCAGTCTCAGTGTCGTGTTGAAAGCTTCGAACACATGTACTTAGGTCTATTTCTAAATAACGGACCACCAGCCGCATGGATTTCGTATATCGCAAGAAAGCAACTAAACGTTTATATCAAAAGCTTTATTTTAAATAATACAGTACTATTTATCGCTTAAACGTCCCCTGCACCGCAATAGTACCTACAGATGACTGATTGTTTATATAATGCTGGTTGCGCCGTACGCGCAAGTTTGATTTTTGTTCTGGCGCCTGGCGAATT